AGAGGAGAGGAGAGGAGAGGAGAGGAGTGTGAGGCCATAGACTCTATCCTCTGAAACTGCCATTTCCTCCATGGGGAACTGATCTCTGTAATCTGGAGATTAGGGGTAATTTCAATAAAACTCCAGAACCCACCCTGAGGCTAAACAAAGTCTGAGTCCGGTAACACTTTAATGACCAAGACCATTTTCCAGGATAAAAAAGTGACAAAGTGAGCTTTGTCTCACAAATGCTTATAACACTGGAAAATGTTGGTCCTTAAGGAGCTACTGGACTCAGATTTTGGCTACTCATCTGAAATTACCTTGAGGTCAGTAATGTTGAGGTCTTCACACCAAGCTAAACAATAAATAACCTTGCATAACCTGCTGATTTTAATAGACGTGCAAACTGATGTGAGGAGGCTTCCTTCCTAGGCATTTATTTCAGGGGCTGAAATATATAGCAGAGGTCAAATCAAATGGTCCCCTTTGCTGATCTAGTTTTTCAATCTGGACATTTTTTTCTATATGAATCAAATGTATCTATAGGGAGCCCCGCATACAAATGTGTTCAACTGTTTACTACAAACAGAAACTGCTACAAGCATGCAGCATGTGACAAATTCATTTTCAGTAGGGCTATGTGCACAGACTAGCAGCTTCTGCTTGTAGCAAAATTATTAGGGCAAATCCTATTCACTGAGAGCACATTGAACATGGGCCAACAAAAAAAAATATCCCTCATTGGCCTGGGTTGAAAGGCAAGCTGCAAAGGTATTGTGGGAATCAAATCTTAAATGCAGCTCTTGACTGTTCAAAGGAAAAGGTGGATCCTTTACCTTGGTACTGAAGTCAGACTGCAATCAGGAAAAAAAAAGAGTAGCTCTGGTAGCGGGCAGTTGTGCAAAAAACATGTGTAAAAGAACCTGCCAGCAGCTGTGCCTGCCTTTCAGCACACAAAGTCACTGCAGGTGACTGGTTTTTATATGCACTGAAAAACCCAGACTGCAGCATAGCCTGGTCTGCACGAAACCACTGAAGATAAAATGCTCGTTACTGACCAAATGGAATAAAAGCACTGTGGTGTGCGGCAGCACTATGATTGTATTAAGTATTAAGGCCCTCTGTTGTGGGAATTGAAAGGATGCTGCACTCCCCTGAACACAAAGGAACGGCAGCGAGAGCTGAGGATTGTAGGCATTGTTCGCTTTTGTGACAGTGATTGCATTTGTTGCCTGGAGTTGCAGAAACAGTCAGACTTGCCCCTTCTGCCACTTTCTAATGAAACAAGTATCATTTTGTAACAGCTGGAAACATGAAGCAGGGGCAGCGGGGGGGGGGGAATCTAGTGCTCTGAAGCACACACTCTTTTGAGATAGTCATTGCTTCTTAGGGCAACTAAAACAAAGCCCATATACTGCTGGAAACCAGTCACCACATTTTAAGAACAGGCACATGTGAGAATACACATTTACACACCCATACTCACAGCTAACAAGGTGGATTCCTAACCCTGTCGTACCACATCTCTGGGCAAAGTATAAACCATTCCTCCTGCCCAAGGGGCCTTCCTGCAACAAAAACCCCTTTTAAGTTGGAGGAAGTCTCCTCAGGCTGAAAGAAGGTTCCTTGGAGGAAGCCTGGATCCCCGACAACATAACATGTCTGTTTCTGAACCTAGATTCAAAACAAGATTTTCAGGATATAAGCGTTCAAAAGCAAAGCACTCTTCCTCAGATACAAGTAGGAATCAAGATCCCTGAGCCCTTATATCCCAGTCAGAAGGTGGGAGGGGCATTTCAAAGAAGGGAGTCAAGATGCAAAGGTACAGTGCAAAATGTAATCAGGTTAATTTCTCAACCTGTTGTTTCCATAGTTTGGCCTGTACTGATACCCCAGATATAGAGAATAATAAGCAATGTATCTATCAAGCTGCATCAAAGTGTTAACACATCCTCCTACAATGGCTTTTCTCTAATGGTTTCCCAACCTACTTTATGGGGATTCATTATAAAGACTGCCATTGTCTTCACGAGATAGGGAATCTCACATTTTACAATTAGAAAATGGAGTCAAAATAATAATGTCAAAAAATGCTGTCTAAACAGAAAATGCAGGGACTGTTTTTACAGAGGCTCTGGCCATCCATTACTCTGTCACCCTGAGGTATATCTGCAGACATGACACTACACAGTACTCATACACAAGCTCTCCAGTGTTCCAGAAGTATGGAATTCCCCTTACACATGGCACATGGCATCTTCAAACAGCACCAGGTTCATGGCAGCATTGACCTCATTGTGATTCTCTAAGGCTTCCACTAACAGCAGGTTTAATGATTCCCAGCTCTGGACAGGCATGTATTTGGGCTCCCCTACTCCTTTTGTGAAGTGGCAAAACACGTTAATCTCCTTAGTCTGTTCCAGGGTATCCTCAATTTCCTAATGAGAAAGAACATAAATGAAACACACAAAGTTGTAGCACACAAACAAAAAATCCGCAGCTTCTAGTCACGGCTCAAGGAGAAAGTCAGGATGTGTAAAACAAACTGCTGGACTAGATGGACCACTTGTCTGGTCCAGCAGGGGTCTTCTTATGTTCTTATGATGCTGATCACCAGTCTCTTTAATTAAGACTTCCCTCAAATACATTTCCAGACAAGGGAAACTCTTGTGCAGTTCATCTTCGTCTTTCTGTAACTCTGTGTAATGATCTTTATGCTAGTCTGACACATTCATATACCAACTCCATTGCCCAGTGCAGATACCTATTCAAGCCAAAGATTCTGGTCCTCTGGAAGAACAGCAGGTTGGACCTGCAACCCCTCATGTCCATGATGTATAATGATATACATGGGCACTCAACATGGATCCCCATATACAGCACAATTATCCCTCATTTAGTTTACAGCTCTTGGACAGAAACAATCACCAGATAGATAGTTGACTGAAAGATGAAACCCTCTGGATCTTCTCTGTGGGGATCTGTTTGACGTAGCTGCCCACATTCCGTTTGATGTAGTGCTTCTTTCTATGCTTGACAACCATATATTTTTAAATAAAGCAAGTACTACAAAGATACCATAAAATCTCCATTGTTCTATCATCCAAAGAAAAGGAGATCTGGGAGCACTGCCTTGAGACGTTTCACCACTCCAAGAAGCAGGTAGCGCATAATAGTAGGATTTGGGTCTCCAGAAAAGGAGCATCCATGTTACCTATTATATTAGTAGTATGTGGAGTGCCGGTGCTGTTCCTCAACTATGACAACAAGAACTCTGGCCTCAAGTAAGCATCTGAACGTGGCCTACGTCACTTACTTCACAATACTTCTTCACAGTCTCTGTTTGCATTTTATCAAAGAGACTGACATCCTTCTCATCAACCATCTTATCCTGATAAACACGATTAGATTCATGCAGGTACAGCTTAACTAAGTCCTGGGGAGTCTTCAGACATTCAGGGGTTGAAAACAGAATACCCTGAAAAGAAACAGAGGTGAAATCAACATACACCTTATTTTTATTTATTTATTTAATGGGATTTTTATCCCGCCCTCCCAGCCAAGGATGGCTCAGGACGGCTTGCAACTCATAATTTCAACAACATATAATACAATAAAATTTGTACAAAATGGATGCAAGAGCAAATCTACAGGTCAAGTTGTGCAGACAAGACACAGGATCCAAAGAGCAGGGTGCTGCTATGGCTGAGATTTCATACTGTGTCACACCATTCATGATTTGCATGGTATAAACTACCTTGGAATTCCTCTTCAGGCTGTGTGTTCTGGGTACAAGTACACCCCTGAATCATCACACAAACCTACTAATGAATAACAGCTGACTTCAAACTCTAAACTCCATGACACCAGCACAGATCAGAATTGCCACTTCAAAATAAAAAATATGCATATGATGTATGTGAGGGGTCTATCATCTGATCACTCCTACTCCAAGTACAAATAATGACTGAAGGGTGTTAAGGAGTAATAAATCCTGGTGAAATATTTGTGTGCGTGTAGCCTAGCTCAGGATAAGCATCAACTGTCCATTAAATGGCTGAGTTTGTATTTCAGCTCAAGCTCAGTAGTAAATCTAGTTGCCTGTACAGGGACAAGATACAAATGAGAACAGAATGAGAAGGCCAAACACTGTTTTCATAAGGAGGAGCCAGGACATGCTGGCACAAAGAGAATGTCTGACTGCAAAGCACTAAGCCTTCCACCAAACAAAATGAATAAAGCCCTGAGTGAAATTTCTACTTCTTTGTGTTTCCATGGATATAGCCTTTGATATCAGTAAGTCTCATGCAAGAGTAATTAGGCACAGGATTATAACCATGATGTAAAATTTGCTGTTAAGTGAGACCATCCAAGAAGAATGTTCATCCTAGATTTCAGTAATCTCCAAGTCATGATCTGATTTCACCTCTAGCAGACAGAAAAAAATGTGGGTCTCCCCATTTCCTGCAATCTAGGTCATTCACATACTTGCAGCTTCCCACCCAATTGCAAGAGGAAGTAAACAACTGGATGCTCACTTTTTTAAAATGCACTTTAATGAAGCAGATGTTGCCTAGAGAAAAATATTAATTACTGTCAGGTAATTGTGGTGTGTTTATAACAATTCTTTAAAAATATACAGGAATATCTCTGTTGAAGTTAGTTTCAACAATAACTATGGGTTTAATGATACCAATTTAAATACCACTTTATTTTTAAATCGGAATCAGAAATTATAAGATGCACTCAAAGGCAAATGAAAATGCCTTGCTTCTCCCAGCTTCCCCAAGTTTAAAGGTTTGGCTTTTAAATCTTTTAAGGACTGCAAATAAATGAGCATCTTATCACCCAAAATACATACTTTTAAAAACTAGGAGCCTTGAATAAGGAAGTGTCCTCTGCACCCAAAATAAAGTTTGGACCGCCACACTTCATACACCCCTATGTTCAGCAGACTCTCCCCTTCAAGGGGGCATATGCTGTTTCCTGTTCCAAAGTGCAGTTCTTGTGCCAGCTGCTCCAAAGTGTGGTGCCCCAAGGAAAATCACACAGACAGACGCTGGGGCCAGGCTGCACCCACAAAGCACCCTTTCAAATACCCCAAATGACACATCACCACACTCTGAAGACTGTCCCCTGCAAGAAGACATACAGTGCTGCCCGGTCCAAACACTGGTTCCAGTGCCATGAGCTTCTTTTTGGATTGCCTTCCAGAGGCCTGTATTTCAAAGAAGACTTCAATAAGGAAGTGCCCTCTGTACCCAAAATAAAGTTTGGACCGCCACAGTTCATACACCCCCATATTCAGTGGACTCTTCCCTTCGAGGAGAGATATGCTGTTTCCTGGCCCAAAGTGCAGTTCTGCCAGCTGATCCAGAGTGTGGTGCCCCCAGGAAAATCACACAGGCAGACACTGGGGCCAAGCTGAACCCCTAAAACAATCTTTCGACCACCCCAAATGACTCATCACCATGCTCTGGGTGATGAGTCATTTGGGGTGGTCGAAAGATTGTTTGGGGTGGTCGAAAGATGCTCTGGAGACTGCCCCTGCAAGAAGAAATACAGTGGTGTCTAGTCCAAATTCTGGTTCTGGCAACACAAACTTCTATTTGGGTTAACACCAAGAGGCCTGTAATTTCAAGAGCGATTTGAATAAGGAGATGGTTTGACGGCTTGTCCTATACACCCCAGAATAGGATTTGGACTGAAATGAGACAATAACAGAACACCACTAGTGGTCACATACAGCTCTCAACTCAAAACAGCTCAGTGCATCATCAGCAACTTACAACCTCTACTGGATAACGACAGTACTCTTTCAAAAGTACTGGGGGGCAAACCTTTTCTAGTGCACAGACAGCCTCCATTCTCAAACTCCTCACCCGCAATAATACAGCATCTAATTTGAACACTGGTACCAGAGTTTGCAACAAACCCAGATGCCAACTTTGCTGCCACATACATCCAAAAAACACAATCACTGGACCTAACAACATCAACTATACCATCTCAGGCTCATTCACTTGCTCATCTTCTAATCTCTCCTATATTATAAAAGGGTTTTGGGTGCCAGAATTCTAAAATGCACTCCTTTAGTGTTAGGCCGAAAAAACTGCCACTCGGAAGACACTGGCTGGGTTCATTGGCTGCTTTGTGCAGTCCCGCCCAGCGTTCCAAGGTCATTTACATATGGAAGCTGAGTGGACTACACTCCATTCCACACCTCAGACTCACCCCCCCCCCACAAGGCAGTTGGAATTTTCAGTTGGGAGAGAGAATGATGTCAGCTGCTCCCTAGGCAGAGGCTGTGTGTGTGTGTGGGGTGTGTGTGTGTAAAACTTAAGACAGACAGGCAGATAGGGTTGCCAACTCCAGGTTGAAAACTTCCAGGATATTTTAGGGATGAAGCCGGCTGAGGGTGGAATCTGAGGAGGAGGAGGAAGAGGGGGACCTCAGACAGATACAATGCCATACTGCCCACACTCCAGACAAGCTGTTGCCAGTCTCCAGGTGACAGCTGGAGAGATCTTAAAGCTTTGGTGCTACTTCAAAGTTCCCCAGGAGCCCAAAACAGAGTAGTGTTTTGGAAAATCTTGAGGAATTGTTTGGTGCATTTACGATGGGGCTCCTGGGGAACTATTGTTGCCAATCTTGGCCCAGCACGGAAGGCCGATGCCTCCGTCGCCCGGCCGAGATTGGGGGGGTGGGGGCGAGGCAGGCGATGGAAGGCCGATGCCTCCGTTGCCTGGCTGGAGTGGCCGCGGGGGGGTCTGGAGTCGGGCGGCCGCTGGCGGGGGACGCAGTCGCCCGGGCCGAGATTGGGGGGGCAAGGCGGGCGACAGAAGGCCGAGGCCTCCGTCGGCCGGCCCTCTACAGAATCCACCCCCCAAACCTCCAGGTATTTCCCTCCTTAGAGCTGGCAACCCTACATTCCCCTCAGTGCCTGTTGGTAGGCAACTAAGCTTGGTCCTGTCACCTACTTTGGCCTTTGGGAGAAAACACATTGGGGCCAGTCCTGATAGGGTTGCCAACTCCAGATGGGAAATTCCTGGAGATTTGAGGGATGGAGCCTGAAGAGGGTGAGGTTTGAGGAGGGGTGGGACCTCAGACAGGTACACTGCCATAGACTCCACCCTTCAAACCAGTCAGTCCCTCATAGGGAACCATTGTTGCCAATCTCCAGGTGAGGGCTGGAGAGCACTCAGAATTACAACTGCTCTGCAGAAGGGAGGGCAGAAGTCAGCTGAAGTCAAAGGGGCAGATAATGGTAGGTTGATGGCTAGCTGGGAAGGAGATGGGGTTGCCAACTACATGCTGACAAATTCTTAGGGATTTGAGGGGTGGAGCCTGGAGAGGGTGGGGTTTGCAGAGGGGTGGGACCTCAGACAGGTAGAATGCCATAGACTCCACCCTCCAAACCAGCCATTTTGTCCTGGGTAACAATTGCTGCCAATCTCCAGGTGAGGGCTACAGATCACTCACAATTACAACTGCTCTTCAGGTAGCAGAGATCAGTTCCTCTGGAGAAAACAGTGGACTCTGTCATTATACCCTGCTGAGGTCACCACAGCAAATTGACACTGTTTGCCCAAAGCCAGAGCACTGCCCCAGAGCCTCTTTCTAGATCCCGTTGTATTGCTTTCACAACGGGCTTTACTGCTAGTATTGTATATGCCATTAAATGCCAACAATGCCTTTCAGTTCTCTACATAGGACAAACAGGTCAAATCTTATTCAAGTCTTCTTTGAAATACAGGCCTCTGGGAGGCAATCCAAATAGAAGCTCATGGCACTGGACAGTCTGCAGAGTATGGGGATGTGCCATTTGGGGTGGTCCAAAGAGTGTTTTGGGGTGCATTATGGCTGAAGTGTCTGCCTGTGTGATTGTCCTAGGGGCACCCTGCTTTGGAACACCTGGCACAAGAACTGTGCTTTGGACCAGGAAACAGGATATATTCTTTTGAAGGGGAGAGTACTGTGAACTTGGGGGTGTATTATGTGTGATGGTCCAGACCTTATATTGGGGTTCAGAGCTTTCAAACTCTCCTCAGTGTTTTTGGTTAAATTCATGAATAAGTCGCGAATAAGGAATGAATAAGGAACTGGGAATGAGGAACCAACTTCCGCCTCATCTGGGCCAAGCTGATAGAGAGATACCTGCAGCTAGGATGAGGCTTCATTAGAGGGAAAACCTGAACAACAGTTTAGTGTGTGGGATAATAATCATCAGTTCAAGGAACAATACAGTGTTGGCAGCAGAGTTGGGTAATATGCTAATTATGCACAGCAAGAAATGTTTTCTGCAGTTTCCCATACTGCTTTGAAACATAGCAAGAGCCCAAATAGTGCTGAGGTTTTTTGCTTTAGCAGAGCCAGAAGCCTCTATTCTTTATTTCCATTTTCACTTAATCCCATTTCAGTCCATTTATTTGTTTTAAATGAAAGCTACCATGACTTAATTCATCAGCCAGTTATTAA